TCTCACTCGAATTCGACATCTTCAAAGCAGTGGATATGATAATGGCCAACATCAAGTACAGACACTGCATATAATGGATATTGAACTGGTGGGTGAATGCTTTGGGGTTCTCTCATCATTTGGTCAATTCATAATGCACGTTAATTAGTGAATGTGTTACGTAAGAAATTAATGAGAAGAATCATTGTTCGACTACTTAGTTTGAAGGTTTTTACGAGTTTGGGGTTCAAATTGGTATTGTTTATTACTATTATCTTATTCAGCATCATCTTTGAGCTTGCCTAATGTTGTATTGCGCTATCAGGTATGCTTGAATGAAGACAACAATGGAGATGGTGATGATTATTTATAAAAGTACCAATATTATCGTCAATATTACTATTGAGCAATCTAAGATTTAACTTCGTGCTGCCATTATCCCGTGATGAGCAAGTTGTATCTATTTATTTCAGTTGCTTTCTGGTCTCACATACTCTCTGATAATATTTTTTGTGTCAATCGATGATTATCAGAAACTTGTATCTATTGACTCTATTTTGTAAGTGTTAATGTTAATAATCAAACAGATAATAAAATGGAGGATGAGATTGATTAGGGGCCGGTCACTTCTCCGAACATCTGGTTTTGAGTTGGGTAACTTCTCCCTGCATAAATAGCAGCTCGTAAGAGGACGGAGACCAATTACCCCGATGTTCCTCCGACGATCAAGTCAGTGATGGACTTGAGTGGAGAAAGTAATGAACTGTGTAAAATCTAAAGTGCAGTAGGGTGGAGAAGAATGCTGAGATATTGCTTAAGATTGTTTACCCTATGGCTGAGAATAGTACCCCTATTTATAGTGGTGACAAGAGGGTAGAATGGTAATTTTGGTCGAGCATAGGATGGCGGTCCACATCAGCATCTACTTTATAGGTGTCGGTCGACGAGTGGGGGAGAGGTCACCTCAGTGTTAAATGCGAAGTGATTAGAGGCATGGCGGTGCCGACGTGGTCCAATGAGTCATAAAGACTATTGGGGGTAGAGGAATGATGGCACCTGCCAAGCATTTAATGTGACGCCGACGCATTGTTAGCGGGCGAGGCTCGAGGTTGAAGACGTCATCTGGCTCGTAGCGAGGGGTGTTGAGAAGTAACGTCTTTCGAGTCGACCCTGCAAGTTATCGAATAACTGGTCGAGTGGGTTCGTAGCGAGTCGTCTTTGACAAGAGGGCTGACAAATACCGCCTTTCGATTCGATCTAAGGACATATAGAGGGACACATGTCCGTTGCTGGCAAATGGCTGCACTATGTCGACTAGAAACACCGTAACAGTAAGAATACAGACTGTTTATTGTCAACTTATCCTCATTGTTGTCAAATGAGTCATCATGTATTTACAGCCAGCAGTTGAAGAACACAGGCGGCTGTCCTTTAGGAATCCACAATAATAATTTTGATCGTATTGAGGGATTTGGAACATAGCCCTCCATTGACATCGATGTATTTTTTTTTTTAAGATTTGAAGTCCTATAAAGGGAATACGAGGTCAAAGATGTGTTTTGCCTATATATGTTATTTTTGTTGTCCCAGCATCTCTCATTCCGCGCGCACATTTTTTGGAGTTGACACGCAGAACGTCTAAAGATCTCTAGAAATTGTGGTTGATCTGTTAAACTATTTAATCTTTGATCGAGACGTCCCGTAAAAAGAACATGACGACAAATTACCTTCTTGTTCTCGGCTCGATTGAAAAAAAAATAAAAATAAATTGTCCACTTTGCCGAGGGCAAATTTTGAAAAAAGACCCCTTTGTAAAAATATTCCCAAAAAAAGACCCGTTTTGAAAATATTCGTAAAAAACAAAAAAAATTCCCAAACTTCATGGGAGTTGAACTCCCGTAAAGTTTTTTACATAACAAAACTTCACGGGAGTTCAACTCCCGTGAAGTTTGAGAACTTTTTTCCCCAAAACCGACCCAGTTTCAGCCATGATGCTGAAACTAGGTCGTTTTTTGAAAATAAAGTGAAAACGAGTCTTTTTTTGAGAATATTTTTGTAAAGGGGTCTGTTTTCAAAATTTGTCCACTTTGCGGAGGCAAGAAGTAATTTATTTTCATGTAACTTTACATGTTGATAAAATAGAGAGTTTAATTAAGAGCGTTGAGGATAAAAAGGGAGAAAAACATTAGAAGGAAAAAACAAATGTCAACATGGACTTGCCTTGAGAGTGGGGGGAGGTTAGTGTGGTGTCTCAATCACTATTATGGGGAACTTTGGATAAGGAGATTTTCATGTCATAAAATTATATGCTAGTGGTCCAATTAGGCCACTTTCCCTTTATTTTGTATACTTTTTTGGTACTTACTTGTGTCCGTTAGATTGGTATGGATTCCGATCTTTCTAAATAATAAACAGGCTCCCCTAATTAAATTGGTTGGTTGGGTTTAGCTCAACAAAACTGGATTTCTTTTGGAGCGAGGAGGAGATAAATCATTGTCTTGTTGTCCGCTGAACCGATCAATTCTTACGATGTTTGTGCTCATTAAGAACAAGAGAAATGATAGAGGCACACTTTCGGTCACACACACCCCTCTGGCTACAGTGCAGAGGGGCCTCACTTTGGAGGTGTGCCTGTAGCGCCTCCCTAACAACAATTTGAATATGAGCAATTGCAATTGTTGTTGTCGAAGGAAAACTTGCCTTTTGATAGAATCGATAAGACGATGTGCTCAGCGGTTAGAGACTTGGAGGTGTTGTCTTAAAAGAACGAAAATTGACCTTTAATGATATTCTAATTGATATTGTTGTCCATAACAAGCACGAAATTTGATCATTTATACGTCCCTAGTCAGTTGCCATAAAAGAAATTGTCTGTTTCCATTAGAACCATAAGGAAGAATTAATTTAATGAGGAATGAAAAAGATAAAGAATTTTTTAATAAGGGAAGGAAATAAACAAATGGGTAGACAAAGATACCCAGTGATAGTAACAAATGAACGGCGACGGTATGATTGGTGTCAAAATATTTCGGCTATTTCCAATATAAAACATATCAAATTGGTTTCCTATATAAATAATTGAAGGCATTTTACATATGATAATTGGAAGATTGTGAATAATGACAGCAGCGAAAACGATGATAATTGTATTTGAAATGTCATGACTGCTTAGATGTGTCATTAGAAACGTAGAACTTTTAGGGGGTGTTTGGTTCAATTTTTATAAATTATAGAAAATGTTTTCCATCGAGAATATGATTTTCTTGCATTTCTTAAAAAAAATTATAGGAAAAGTTTTAAGAAATAAAAAAGTACTAATTTTCTTATTTTTTTTACTTTGCTTGTTTGGTTCAAAACAAGAAAATGACCCGTAACTTTATAGAAAATAGCAAGATTTTCTATAATTTGTAGAAATTGAACCAAACACCCCCTAAATTTATATATAGAAAATAGCAAGATTTTCTATAATTTGTAGAAATTGAACCAAACACCCCCTAAATTTATAAAAAAGTGTCAACTTTATAGAAAAATTCTATAATTTGTAGAAATTGAACCAAACACCCCCTAAATTTATAAAAAAGTGTCAACTTTATAGAAAAATGTCAATGTGGTGTCAGATTTCTATAATTTGTGATTTTCGTCCATTTTGAGAGAAAATTAATTTCTGTAAATTTTGGTACATTTCTATACTTTACAGAAAATATTTCTGTAAATTTTTTGAACCAAATACAGTTTACGGAAATCTACAAAAAAAATTTAATTACAGAATTGCTATTGTCAGATATTTTGAGAAAACTTTTTTATAAAATTGTGCAACCAAACACACCCTTATTGTAAAAATAACAGTAGGATCTAAAGTCATTATCCATATGAATACTTAATGTTTTGACTCGGTTATGATAGAAAATCTCTTTTTAAATTGTTGATAAAATGTGTTTTACTCCTGCACAAGTTAACTCCACTAGAAGATGAAAATTTCAACATTTTTTGGAATATTGAAGATATTATATTAATGGCGTTACTATTAAACATTTTAACATTTCATAAAGACTAAAATGTTGCCCTTTTGCTGCCTCTTTACTTTCTGATATTTATTTAGCGCATCATGTAACTCGTATTTACTAGTCATGTAAAGCTGTAATAAGGCAATTTAAATTTCAACAACATTTTTTGCTAAGGCTGTTTGGTTCGCTATTATAAGGAGTGGAAAACTCAGAAAACCTCTTCACGTCAGTTTTTTAGCCCTCCACCTCAGCTTTTTTGTTTCCGTCCATTTCTTTGTGCCGCTTTGGTTAGCTCGAATGGAAGAGGGAAAACTCTGCTGAAATCGCCGCCAACTAAGATTTTTTTCCCTCTCCGATTTCCTTCCCCAACCAAGTAAAATTGATGAAAACTCTACCACGTCAGATTTTTTTCTTTTTCTGCTTTGTTTACAAAAGTTTTTCTTTTTTCTCTATGCGAACCAAACACAAGAAAAATAAATATATTGGTTTCCCACCATTTTTTGTGTGCGAACCAAAGCAAAACAATCTATTTCTTGAAAAAGTTTGGAAAACTCAAAACTTATGTTTCTTTACATAGAATTGCATTTCTCTATATCAAGGAAACGAACCAAACAGCCCCTAAAAATAAAAAGAGAAAACAGTATGTACAAGAAGAATATAGAAAGAACTTACAAAAAAAAACAGAAAGTTGAGATGATTTGCAATAAACCCCTCCAAACTTTTAAACTAATCAAGGAAATTCTCTAGACCTCACGTTATAATTTTCAAAAATTCATTGAGATTTTTGTAAAACTCTCCAAATTGTAGAGTGGATTTTAAGTTTCAAATTTCAGAAGATTTTATGAGAATCATTCCAAATTTCAGGTGGGTCTGTCAAAATTACCCCAAAAAAGTCTTTGTAAAGAAAAAATTACTCCAAAAATGTTGAAGGTAACAATAATTGGAAAAAATTACTCCAAAAAATAATAATATCTCACTTATTATATATATACTTTGGTTTCTTGTCCACGCAAACAAATTACAAACCCAAGACCCAAACTTTGGGTCGTCTTCTTCACTCTTTCTCCCCATCTCTCCAAAATTGGGCAAAACCCCAGTTGGGTCTCCTTCTTTGGTCATCTAATCGAGTTTTTGGATCGATTTCTTGGACTGGGATCGAGAAATTCGATCTGGGTTAAATACGTCTACTTGTGATGGGTTTGTAAACTTTTTGGAGATTAGGAGATTTTGTTTTTGTGGGTCTTGATTGGTTTTGTGTGTAGTTATTGAATCTGTTAGAAAGTTGTGATTTTGGTGGAAATTCGAATTGAGTTTGAGGGCAAGGGGCTGATGAGAGATTGAGGTCAAGATGGCAGGAGATGATGATTTGATTGAACTCAAGTTTAGGCTTTTTGATGGTACTGATATAGGGCCCAGCAAATATGATCCTTCAACTTCAGTTGGATCTTTGAAGCAGATCATATTGGATCAATGGCCCCAAGGTGAGATTTCTCTCTTCTTTTTTTTTTTGATCTTTTATTGCTTGCGTTTGATGTGTAATTGCCAACTTCTATTTCTTGAATTATTACTTTAGTCTCATATATAGGTTTTGAATATGGCTATGCTTGAATTAGTATTTTGATTTGTCAGGGTGGAAAAAAAAGAAAGAAGAAGACATGAAAAAGTAGCAAAATGGAAAGAAACTGTTTACTTCTTGCTGTATTAGAACAATCTATAACTCTTTTCCTGCGTATCTGTATTTGTTGGGTTAACAGTTTGTTATTCTTTGGAAAAAGTTGTCAAATCTAGCTATCAGAAAGTCTGATTTCTTTGCAAATGGTTGTCTATCTGGGGAACCATGATTTTCATAGGTGTTTCTTTCCTTCAAATTTTTATCAACCTGTTCTTTCTGGAAAATACAAGTTTCCGGCTGTTAACTGTCTTTCCGTAACATTTTAAGTTAAATATATTGTCTGTGAAAATTTTCATTGCTTTTAGTCGGGAGTTGTTTGGAAATTGGAACCTGTATTAGAGAGACGGTTCACTTCTCTTTGATTTTCTTAACTCCAACTCTAAACTTTCCTAGTAGTTTTTCTCATTATCTTCCTTCAAGGATTTATGGCGAGCCTCTCTCATGAAAATAGATGTGCTTCAACTTGAAAGAGGCACGGGCTTATGGAAAGATGATGCTTGGTACTAGTTAACTATATGGTGGAAACTTAAGAACTGCAATCTATTGCTGAAGCCTCTGTGACTGCGCAGACAATATTCATGAGTTCATGATGCATGTGGAGCAAAGAGTGCTGTTCTAGGGTTTACTCTCTTAGAGATGCACCTGTACTAGTTAATTGCAGAAGTTATGTGGTAAATTTTGCTTAGGTTTACTACAAAGAGTTTTATCATTTATAGTTTGCAATAGATTATAGGTGCTATAGGTGCTATAATATTTGATACTTAGGAAATAGGGTAAAGTGTATGTCATCACATTCAAGAAACAGCTGAATCTTTAACCTTTTTAAGAAAGATGTCTGAATATTATAGAGAGCATCCAACTCAGATGGAATAGGTTTGTGAATATATCTTTTATTTTGCTTTACTTTAGCGCATTACCAAAGCTCAGTAACTTGAGTTCTAAGCACTTCTGTTACATTAATAAGCTTTGTCTTAAATGATAAATGCTCACTAGAAACAAATGTTAAATGTAAATTAGGTACAAATGGCATGTCGGTTTCCTACGGTGTGTCTGAAATGTCCACTTTTGATGCTTTTGCTGCTTTTATCTTTTTATCACATTTATTACATTTCTGGATCTCAAATCACAGTAAAAAGTTAATTACTTAATTCTGGGTTGTGGTTATTGTTAGTTGCCTCTTAAACTGAGGTGTTGATTAGGTTTTTCTTTTTCTGTTTCCTTAATTGATTCCATTGATAGGCAAAGAAATTGCCCCCAAAACAATAAATGATGTGAAGCTCATCAATGGAGGGAGAATACTAGAGAACAATCGTTCAATTGCTGAATCCAGGGTGCCAGTTGGAGAGCTTCCAGGTGGTGTTATCACAATGCATGTTGTTGTCCGGCCTCCAGTACCTGATAAAAACAATGGTACTCTTTCTGATCTTTATTCATTTGGTTTTATAGATTACGGATAAGAAAAATTCTTCCCATTGGACTAGTTTTGTGTTTTACCGTCCTAACGTATCTATGCAAAATTACATTTACATTTCTTCAGTAATATTTAATTGAAAATCTTTTGTTTCCATTTTGGTTGGTGTATATAAATTCTACACGATCTTAGGCAGTGTTGTACAGTTTTAAACATTAACTTCTTGAGGTTCCTTTCACTTAGATGCTCAAGAAAACTACTAGCATACTTTGAAGAAAATTGTTTATTCATGCCTATTCAACAAGTCCATTGCAACTTTGGCACATGCAAAAGCTCTAATTCAGTAGCGAACCTTATCAAATATGAGCAGATTAGTCCTGTTAATTTTTGGTTAAAAGCATACATTCATACTTGTGAAGAATGTCAACTACA